AGCAAAAAAAAAAAAGGGATTGTTTTCTTGCTCTCCATTTTATTGATTTTTTTTTCCTGGTTTTCTCTTCTTCTTTTTTTTTTTTTTTTTTTTTGTATTTGTGTGTGGGTTTGTTATCGTGTTCATTAGAGTTTTTAGTTGCCTTTAAAGCATTTATATAAATAAGAGAAAAAGTGATGCGCCGTGTTTTTCCAAATGTGGCTTGCCTCTGTTTGGCAAAGCAGAAGCGTGACCTCCACTTCCCCATCACGCCGCCACCTATTGAAATTGAGTACTTGGATGAGGACCCGCTGGAGTTTGCTGTTCGTACGGAGGCCCGTAAGTGGGGATTTGACGACATGAGCTACATGCGGGAACTCGCCTTTGTACGCATCAATAACAATCCGACGGTTGGGCAGTTTCGTACTATGACCCCGGATGAACGGCGTAATCTGTTTTGGGGTAGTGACAGGCAGGACTTTTTCCGACACCTCACGTTTATGCTCACCGGCACCCCGGAGCATCTCTACCACCGCGGATGGTAGTGGCGATTGGTGTGTGTATATAATTAGTGGATATTTTGTAGGGCCCGGTGGGAAAGGGAGTTATTAGGCAGGGTATTGAAACGGTATTTTACATAGGAAGAAGAAGAAGAAGGTGCTGGTGGTGGTGGGTTGCGTTTGGTCGTTGTTTTTTTTTTTTTTTTTTACGTGGTGTTTCTATCACCACGACGATGACGCCCGCACGGTGACAACAGCATAAAATGAATACTAATAGAAAAGAAGGAAAAGCGGATCGGTGACGGTACTGTTAAGAAGAGAGGGAGAAAGAAAGAAAGAAGGAAATATACATAAATAAATATATATTTTTTATAAAGAAGAAAAAACGCAACAACAACAACATTCCATCTGTTCATTATTATTATTATTAAATGTATGTTGTATGTACATGTGTTTGTGTGTATATATATATATGTATGTATAATATATATATATATACATACGCGTACATCATGGTGTTTGTTGAAGGTCTTTTTGTGTCGGTGAATGTGACGAATGCATGTTGTTTGCCACTTCTTATTATTTTTTCTCCCTTTGATGATGATGATTGGATGTGCCCAGGAATTCGTTCATTTTCCGCATTCTTTTTTTTTTTTTTTTTTTTTTAACCTGCAAGGCGGTCACTCGTAACTTTTATACGATCACTCTGTGAGCTGCGGCAGTGCGGTTCATCAACGCTGGTGGTCAAATCAAATCAAATGAATCCATTAAATATATTTTTTTTTACGTCCCCTCTTTTTTTGTGTGTGAAATGTATGTCTTCCAATGTGCCCTCAAATAACGTCTTTTTTTTTTTTTTTTTTTTTGGTTTTTTTTCCCATTTGTGTCTCTGTCTTCAATCATGTTGCAATCTCACACATGCATGCATGCACGTACATACAAGGGACTCTAGCGAAGTTTCCATTAATTGCGCCCCACACGTTTGCCAAGAGAGAAATAAAGAAAAGAAAAAAGAAAAAGTACGCAAGTTAAACACGTTTTTTTTGTGTGTATTTATTGCTTTATTGACACAAGTAAATACAAATAAAAGGGTAATAAACATATTTTCATTTACTTTTTCCTTTTCACCAGGAACTTGTGAAGAGAATATTTACGGGGCAAGCGGGCAATCTAATTTAATATTTATATATGCTGATAAAGGGGACTCTGTACGACAGTTTTTTTTTTTTTTTTTTTTTTCTACTTTATGATTTATTTGGTTTACCGCGATTGAGGAAATCAGGGAACTGTTGGCGTCCAGACGATTTATAATTATTTTTCACAGCCACTCGGGATCCCTGCAAGCTGATTGAAAGAAATGGCAGTGTTTTCTTTTACACTGCGACGGGGAGGAGCAACATTGGTGCCCGCATGTTGGACTTGGCACGCCAGCATGGCGATGTACGGGTGCAGCTCGCCTTCGTTGATGAACACGGGCCGTTGGATGCGGTGGTAGCCGCCGCCGCAACAATGACAGGCTTACGCTTGGTTTCAGGAAACATCGCCATGCACTGGGAGGAGTCGACTGTTGCGGGCACTTTGCGAATCACCGGGCGCCTCAAGTACCTAATTTCGAGGTTCGAGTGCTGCTGCCCATCGTGTGTGTGCTGCCCGGGAGTTGGGGGTCCAGCAGGGGCTGATCATTGCTGAAAGGGAGCGTTTGAGCGCTGAATACGCCCATGCCATTGCTGACGTTGCGGATCGGAGTGCTCAGCTTCATTCGCAGGCGGAAGAGGCGCATAATTACTTGTCGGCACGCGGATCCAACATTGCGGTGGCCGGCGGCCTTCTTGCAGAAAGGGAATACGCACTCGCCGGACGTAAACAGCAGGTGGAGGCTAAACGCGCCCAACTACAGGAACGCGAATACCAATTGGGATTGGCCAATGCACAACTCCATGAACGAGAGGCGCGCGTTAATGCAATCGAAGCGCAGCAAGCCGCACGGGAGGCGGAGAGGACGGGCTGGGAGGAAGCACCCACCTCTCGGAGGGATCCGACTGATGGATCTGACACGCATCATAATATGGCCGAATCCGGCTTTGCCACACAAACATATCGAACGCAGCGTTTGATTGCGGGCGGCGCGCCGTTACGCACGGCCCAACGAAGCCCGGCGGACGAGAGGCGGCAGGCTTTTCCCCAGACGTCTCAGGGGCATTATGGGGAAACACGTTTACATCCCTTCATGCCCCTTGCATCTCGCA